CCTGCAAGCGATGAATTCTGAGCAGTCGTGCAAGAATATTCTAGAGATTCACCACTTTCCTCTGAGCTTCTTATCAGAGTAATGATAACTCTTGGGAATGTCTTTGATCTTTTTGTGGAAGTCCTATACCTACTGCATCAGAAAGAGACAATGCTCAAATTTTTGCTGGCAGCAGAGAAGATATGTTAAATAGAACTTAAAAAAAACCCCCAAGCCTTAATTAAATTAATGTCCATACCTTTAAACATAAAAATGTATAGAAATAACTGCACAGCAGAGGAAGAAATGTTTAACCTAGCCATTCTCCTGTCAATACCTATCAAAACCAAGAACAGCTTTGATGTTCTCCTTGTATTCTTACAGCCTTTTCCCAGGAGCAATGGCATTACATATATCCCTGCTACCTGCTGATACAAAACACGGCCAAAACAGAGTTTCTTGTCTCTAAGCTACACAGTGCACTTAATAGCAGTTAAATAGGAGTTAATTTTTATCCATGCATGAGTTTTGTACGTACTATTATTGCAGTAAGACTATATTACTTCTTCAGTAATCCCAGTAAAGGAGAGTGACAGACTTTTGTGCTGTTCTGATGGATGCTATTACAATGTGTGTCAATATTCTCCTATAATCACCCATGGCTGCCTATTTTATTTCATTGCTCTTATGTCAGCACTGCAAGTGGTTAGTAGAGATTGTCACTGTTCCACTTCTCTAGGCAGCATTTAAACAGAGCAAAATAACAATATAGAAAGGTGAGGCCAAGGGGACCAGGTTTATTCAGCCTGGAGAAAAGGCTGAGGGAAGATGTAATTCTACTGTCTAAAGAAGGGTTATAGAGAAGACAAAACAACATTTTTTTTTTTTTTAGGGATGCATGGCAAAAGCACAAGAGGCAACAGCTACAGCTTGTGGAAGGGAAAATGCTGCCTCCACATACGGACAATACTTTGCACAGAGAGGGTGGTGCAACAGTGGGCCAGAGAGATGGTGTAATCTCCATCCTTGGAGATGTTCTAAACTTATCTGACATGTCCCCAAGCAGCCTGAACTAGCTTTGAACAGGGGGCTGGACCAGATGACAGCCAGACACCCTTTCCCACTAACTTTGTGGAGCTCTTGCCTGAAGCTCCCACCCCTTCTGAGACATTTCAGAGTTATTTTTTATCACAACCAAGTTTAGTTTGCTTGCCCCAAGTAAGCAAACACAGGTGTCTCCTCCTTCCCCATCTCAAGGAGCTGCTTTTCTGGTAAGTGGGTCCGCATGGTGTCAGGTCACCCAAGGGGGAGAGGATCAGGGCTGGCACCAGGACTCGAGAGGACCAAGAGAGTTGCTGAACCTGTGGTAGCCCTGAGATGTGGGCTCCCTTAGGAGATACCTAAGCCCTGCCTCCTCTGCCTTTATAAAAGGAGAACCTCTTCTGCACCTTTTAAGATAGCCATAAGCCAGTTTTAAAGACCATTGTGACCTCTTCCACAGGGAAGTGACTAATTTTGTGTATTTTCAGTCGCCTTAGTGGAAACTCAAATCTCAGCTGCTCACAAAGGTCGTAGTTGTCTCTTGGTGAGGAAGATGTGGAAAATCACCGTCATTCACTCACAATCAGTAAAACTAACAAGCAGAACAATATGTTTACACAGCCTTATTTCATCTGGACTGCCCAGACTGCTGTGCAGTATGATGTATATGCTAATGAACGGTAATTTACAGCTAATGAAATTCAAGAAACAGGCCATTTTTCTAGTTTACATACAGACGCAGTTAGTGGGTCCCATTATTGATTGGTGGCGCAGAACACTGACAATACAAATCCTGGGCATGCCAGTTAAGCTGATTCTACCGTAATATGCACTTAATAAATTGATACACATTTTTCTTAATTCATAATGAACATTTTCTTTCTTCTACTGCAATCTTGTACCAGTGTGCCTTTAGTAAAATGCAAATGAAGGCACTTTTCTGTAGGAAGTAGAGTGGGGAAAAAATAACAACGCATGGCTGGTAATTCCTCATTGCTGAGAGCTGGAGTTGAGGTTTAAGTTGAATTGTAATGGACAATCTTTTTCCCTCCATGACTTAAATTATAATAATGCTGACAATTTATATATGCTGAATACATTCTTCCATGATCTTTGAAGAATTTTAGAAGGATGGGTCGGAGTAGTTATCTTTCAGCAGGCAGGGGTCCAAGTTGCCCAACATTGCTGTGAGCTCAGAATTGCTGGCCTCAGAGCCATTATTTAAAGAAAAATATTGAGTAGCCATTTGCCCAACTAGGTGCATTAAGAGAGTTAAGTAATTCTGCATAGGAGAGTTGCAAACACCAGTATTTGGGTAAAATATACATAAGGAAAGAGTCTTTGATAATTCTGGACTCCCACAGATGATGTTAACATCCTGCCTGCCTAGCCCATCTTTAAAAAAAAAAGCTCTATGTACCTGATAAGGCAACTCTGAGCCATATTTAAAGATCACTAGTATCTTTTCCATAGGGAAGCCTTTAAATATAGAACTTACGGGACAGCAGAACAGGAAGAAAAAAGACTAAATCCTGGGGCAATGCACAAAACCTGGTGTAGTTCTGATGAAAAAAAACCCTTAATCTTTCAGATGCAGGAAAGCATTTCTGAAGGAGTCAAAAAGCAGCCAGCCTCAGACAGTAGCAAGTATTACACAGCTAATGTTTATATGATCCCCCCATCAGCGAGGGCCCACTTGAACAGTTTGCAAAACGAAACAGTACTGATGTACATTTTAAGTTGTAATTCAGCATGCCAGTATCAGATTTACCATGACTATGAGCAGGAACCTATATGGAGGTATCTGCAGCACTTACTTTTTGGATGCCTAGAATTTTAAAACAGTTTGATTATTCTCCACTTGTGAGATTGCTTTGGTATTCAAAAACTTACAGGAAATGGTCATTTCTGTCATGTTTTGTTCACGTATTTCCAAGAGCACTGGCAAAAGGTGAAAAATTAAAACATACCCTGGATTTCTACTGCAGGGTTTTATTTAGCTGCCCATGCTACACAGATTTGCACACATTGTTCTAACATGCCAAAGAGAATAAAAATTTTTGGAAATTAAATGATCTCTGTCAGGTGCACCAAAGTTTTAAATCAGTTATAATGGAGACAATTGAGAAGAAGAAAAAAAAAAATCAGCTTTCCTATTGCATAATAAGATTTAGTATTCATAAAGGTTGCCATAAATATTATTTATAGGACTGGTGTGAGTCTCAGGTATTCACTCAAAAGGTAGACAGACAATCTCCCATGAGTATCTATTTTAAAAATGTATAAATAAGAAATTATTTGTTGGAGCGTGGCTCACAGCTGATTAATCTGAAGACAGAAGAAGTAAAGACCATGAAGCTCCTGGCTACATACGTAACTTCTGATGATTCGTGAGTGGTTTAACATCTGAGATTTCTGTAGCAGAAGTCTTCCAACAAGAACTAACTTAATAACATACATTGTGAACAGACTGCTCTCATTTGAGAGCAAAATGCTTTTAAAGCTACTATCTTTCAATCTTTTATTTTACATTTAAATTTCAAAATATCCCATATTTGTGTTCTCATTGCAAACACACGCATACAAAAATTCTAAGAGAAGTCTAAAAGTCAAAAAGACACTTCAGCTGTAATTCATATTGGGAAGAACAGGGAAGAGCTTAAAAATATACATATGCAGGGCCAAAATTACTCAATGGGTTCTCAGCTGGAGTAGAAGGCAACACCATTCAAATGACAAGTTTTCTTTAAAGCTTGGAGATAACAGACCATCATCTATCTTCAAATGTGGTGACTAGAGAAGTCTTTCATTCAATGCACCTCATATTTTACGAATTGTACCCAAAGACCAGCTGAGTGGGTTTTCTGCACACATAAGCAGACTTAGGGCATATGAAAAATGCATACCAGCGTACTTTCATCAGAGTAGGAGCCAGCAAATTCATTCAGAGTTTAAGAGATGGAAGTCCATTTCCCTTCTCTGTTCCTGATGGGAGCTCTACATAGTAAGCAGAGGCTCTAGGGATCTGCTCTACCCTGTCTATTACATTTATAAATTAGAAGACAACACAAAGGGTGTTTATATTATTGTATGGGTGACCCCCCTCAGACAGCATTACCTGCATGTCATTGCAGAACTGGGCTTGTCAGAAACTTTAACATTGATGCCATCCATGGAAATATGATTCATTGGGCGAGGGTGAGAGCACACGTAAGAATTTATTTCTGAAATTATCTACACAAAAACGGTATAAATATTGTTTAACTCATAAAACATATTGGAAATGTCATTACAAAAGAACCATTACAGACCACTAAATATAGGTGCAACATTTCTAATAACCATGCTCCAACTCAAAGAACATTTAGGCACATTTCATGTAATTGTGAAATATATAGATATATGGTTTCAGAAATAATTAAAGGAACAAAAATCAGTCAAAGACTGTTAAATTGCGAAGGCAGTCTCTCTGGCACAGGTGACTGACAAACTGCTGGTGGAGTTTTCCAGGGTGGTATCACTAATTACGTGCCCTGCTCAAAGACTATTCCCATAATCACTGTCTGAGACGGGCCAGTGGGCTAGATAAACCTTTTTTCACAAGAGTGGATCTGAATAAAAACTTTAAATCCACTTTTGCACTTGTCAATCGTACCTTGGCTTTTCTATACTTAAGAAGTAATGTGGTACTGTCATCAGCTGGAGTTAAGAAATGTAAGGAAAAGGTTTTTTTTAAGTAGAAACTATGTTGTGTCACTGTGTACCAGGGCCTCTCTCAGCTTGGGTGGGATCAGTGTCTATACCTGGAAATTCAGTTTTTTTGTCCAGAAACATAAAGGTTGCTTATGTGGTTTGCATGTATAAGCATAAAAACATCCAAGCTGCTTCCTTTCTGAATTAAGTCTGAAATTTCCCTCACATATTTCCAACCTAGCAGGCAAATCCTTACCTTTTTTTTTTTTTCCTCATGTAATTTTTAGGACTATCAGGAAGCTTCCAATTTGGAGCAGTTTGTGACTCGCTTTCTTTTGAAGGAAACACTGAACCAGCTTCAGTCCCTCCAGAGCTCCCTGGAATGTGCCATGGAAACCACGGAGGAGCAGACTCGGCAGGAGAGGTGAGCAAACCTTCTGCCCAGCTGCAGTGAAGGGGGTGAGGAGTGGGGTCACCGTGAACCTCCAAGACCATTTTACATTTCACCCAGCACCCTGATATAGGGAATAACAGGAGAAATAAGGATACACTTTTTATTCCCTATAGGAACTCACTAATAGTTTTCCTGAAATTGAATACAAGCAGGTTCCAATCTGATCCTGTGGTGGGTTGCATGTAGGAGGACCAATTTATTACATCCTAGGCTGTGCTCCTTTGACTTCTTTTTAAATCCATTGACTAGCTAATATCAAATGCAGAAACCAGACTACTGCAATGTGAAGAGCTCTGAAATTACTAAGACCATTGACTGTCTCCTTGTTTCTTTCTTCCAGCTTTATGATTTTTTTTCATTCCTGGTTGTGCAACGATCCTTATGTTAAGAGGCGAAATAGCCAGGCTCTTGATTGTTACAGCTGCTTCCTAGAAAATAGGGCCATAGTATTGGTTAACATCGAACTCTGAAAACTCTCAATCATCTGGGTAACCTATATCCATCCAAGGGGTTTACCTGGATTTAATACCATGACCTCATAGATGAGAGTTTGTAGGATCAAGGATCAACACATTTTTGAAAAGGTACTTGGCTTTATGGATTTGTTTTCCTCAGTGTGCTGTTGTTAAAGATGATAGGGAAAGCAAAATACAAGCTGTTGTGTTTCATGGACAAAGATGATCTCAACACTTCATATGCTTTAAAATGCATTGCTTTTTCATTCTTTCTCTTGGAAATGCCATTTTCTTGTTTGTTTTGCTGTTGGTTTTGAGATCTCTGAAGTACATGAATAATAGATTGGGGTTTTGTGCCAGCAGCTTGACTACAGGAAAGGCTGAGGGGGCGCCGAATATGCACAGTATATATACCCCTCCATTCATGCATACATCTTTCCAAGTTCCCCACAACTGATGGGAGAGAAAGAAGTCTTGAATGGCCAGTTCAGAGCTGGAGTCTAACGTAGGTGTTCTTACATCCTCTGGAGTAATCACTGACTTCTTCTCTGACTTGCCTTTTAGGACAGCCTGTCTAGAAATACAGTCTAGAAAGACCATCTGAGTAACTTAAACTACTCACTTGGGTGCATAGAATTGGGTGATATGAACATCCCTTTTGCCGCCAGCTTTCTTGTCTGCAAGACGGTCTGACGGTCTGGTAGGGCATTGTGGAGACTTCTTTTTCCAGTTTTATCGGTACAGTTGTTCAGAAATACTCTCTTGAGTGGTGAGCTTGGTTTATGGCAAAGAAAATGAGAAAGAAGTGTGACACTGTTAAGCCAAATACCATCTTCCCCATTTTTTGAGGTAGCAATGGAAAAGCCAGGCAAACTCAGCACTTTAACTGCAGCTATTTTGGGGAAAATGAGTTAGTTTCTAGTGTAGAAGCCACAGTCCCTATGTAAAATCATCTTCAGTTATGTTTAACTTAACTCAGGGGCAAACTGTCTGAATCAAAATCCATTAAGACACTCCTAAACTAATTTAAGAGTGCTCACAGTGGGGAATCACAGTGGGGAACTGCTATAATTTGGCTTACTGTGAAGAGATTTGATGCTGCAGAAAATACCATCCTAAAACATCTCCTTAACATAGTGTGTGTTTTTGGTGAGCTTTCATTCTGTGCTTCAGGAGACCAGAGAGCTTTCCAAAGCAGTGAGCTGGGAATTTTTTACTAAACTGTTTAGACTACTGTCCAATATTCTTTGCAACCACTCATCCAACTAACTGTTCAAAACTAACCATAGTTCTGCTCCTTCATTGCTCTCCAGCTGGATGATGAAGAACCAGCACATAGAGACAGTCTTCAGTCCTCACACAAACTCTCAAGCTTCAATGACTCTGTCATTGCAGTACAAACATAAGTTATTTCTGTGTCTTCTATGTTTCAATACTGGTCCCAGAAATGTATCTGTCCTCCATCCAATATTAGCTAATTCTTATTGGTTTTCCTTCCTTACTAACAGATATGTGTTGCTGTTTATCTTTTCAGTCTTTAAGCTGAAGGGGTCAATGTTTAAAGTTCTTATCTCACTTTGAGCTGTTCTTGTGACCCCAGTTCCTCTGCAGAGATGCTGCAAAACTCCCATGAATGAAGAAACTGTGTGAATGGTTCCTTAGGTCAGGTCAGAACCACATCATGAACAGACACTGACCTCGAGCTTTCTCTCCCTAGAAGACAGGTTTACGCCAGCTTAACCCTTTTTTTTTTTTTTTTTTTTTAACTTCTCTAATGACTAGCAACCTAAACACAACTGATTAGTAATAGTGAAAATCTGGAAAATAATTCAGTGGTCTTAATAGGTATTTCTCCCTTTTTAATTCAAAAGGGAACATACAAGCGCATTTTTTGAGAACAGAGAGAGGAGAGTTCTCCCACATGTTTTGCCTTATGAAGTCTCCTGTGTTTCTGTGCAGACAAGACCCAGCAAAACCAGAAGTGCTCTCAATTCAATGGCCAGGAAAACGCTCAGCTCGAAGGCTTCAGAGGAACAACAGCCTGCTGCCAAATAGCCCTCATTTTAGCGCAGGTATGGTATTTCACATTTTAAAGATATTTAAAACATGTGCATACACACACATATACAGAAAAATATATAGGTATCGTCCTCTCAAAAATTTAATTTCGACATGGTAACTAAATCAGATACTTTACTGACAGAAATCAATCTTCAATTTAACGTAGAAGGTATTAGCTCAAACTGTAGGAAAAATAAATATGTACCCATAGATCTGAACTGATAAAAAAATAAATACATAATTATGGGCCAAACTTTAATATCGTTTTGGGGTTGTGGGTTGAGTCAACTTTTCTTAGGTAATATTTGTAGCCTGCAAGATAAGAATGAAAAGGTGAAGGCTGTAACTTATACAGAACCAAGTTCTCTGTCATGACTTACATCCCAGCTGAGGGGAGCAAACAAGAAACAGAAAGTATCAAACCTGAAGGAAAAAAAAAATTCATTTAAGATGATACAAACAAATCTGAAACAGCATTTCTGCTTTGGAAAATGTGAGAGGGTACTTTGGTAAATGGGATTCTTTGGAAGCAGTGACATTAAGCATGAGGCTGCAATGAAGGCATCTCCAGGCTTAGGGATGTCTCCCAGAATCAAGGCATGAAGATGACTGAAACACCAAAGTATGTGATGGGTCAAGGCCACTTCTTGACCAGTCATGCAGATCTCACTGCTTGCAGCCACATGCTTTACCTCTTCCTTTTTAACCCTCCTTTGAAGACCCTTCTGTCACTCACATTCATGACTCACTTTCTGCCACTCACCAAATGATGCGGTTCATTCAGCACAGCGATGCAGGATGATGTTTGGTCCCTTGCTGTGAGTTGCTGGTGTTCATAACAAGGAAGATCACATAGCTTTGTTGCTGCACTCCTAATTCAGAGAGTTCAGAGGGAACCCAGACATATGCGAGCTGTACCAAATCCACTTACTGTATTAATGTAATTTTAAAGAGGCTATTCTAATAGCCATCTAACAGCTGTCTACTTTCCTAGACAAGATTTGTGTTTGTTTTGGCACTTGGTCTTCCTCCTTACTGCCTGCTGCTGCCCACATGCACAGTAACACTGTAGGTGCGTATATGCACTCAACACTCAAGTCAGCATTTTTTTTAGCCTTTGCACTTGTTCAGGTAAAGCCACATTCTGCCTTCTCTACATATCACACCTCTGGTATGTCCCCAGCATTAGGATTTCTTTGTTCTGTCAAAACATAGTCCAAGTGCCAAAAGAACTCTCAGCTGGAAAATGAGCAGGTTAATGAATGTGCATATCAAGAGCATGTGTTGAAAAATCTTCAGTTTCTGATAAACAACCTTCCTCTCTCCTTAGAGCAATCATTTATGTACACATTCACACTGTGGGCGATGCCAGGAACTGCTCTCATAAAGCACATATCATTTCCTTGAGTATTATCCTTTCCCTCTGATAGACAATTTTCTTGAGACTTTAGCAAAGCAAAGTTTTCCAGAGACTTTAGAGAGGCTCAGAGATGCTTGTGCCTTTGTAGAACAACATTTTCTAGCTTCACCTTTGCTATATGACATCAGGTCATTATATAGTCATGAGTATGACTGCAGTATAGATGGAAAGCTAGAAAGTCTACTGACAAGGTCATGTCCTATCCATATAAAGAGACAAGACACAATTAACATGGAGTGTCTTAGTCTTTCCTCTGCTGCTGAATTCCATGACTTGGGAGAAAAATAAACATAGGAAAGTTATTATGATGAAACAATCGATCTTGATCTGGTCCAAATCTGCAGTCACCACAGGCATAAATTATACATCTCAAACCCAAAATCTCATTCTAGAAAAATCTAGTGTAGGATGGATCAATCCTAATAATCATATTGCTGCATTTCATCAAGTACCCAGGAACACTGGTTGGTTGGAAAGGTAAAGAAGCTGCAAAGGACATCCAGTTAATGTTATTAAATCAGCTACAGAGTCCACTGCAAGATTATATCCATAATTAGTGGATCAACACATGAAAACCCCTAAGACAGCATACTGCAGATGACTGTAACAAAGCTGAAAACCCCTCAGAGTACAAGTATAAAACCAGCTGTTGCAGCTAAATGAACCTTTTCTGAATGAAGAGAAAGCCCCTTATTCCCAATGCATACGAGACATTCTATGATTGTTAGGAGGGTCCTTCAGGAATCCCTCAATATCAGGATTCCTCAATGTGCCATGCCAGAAACCTAGGTCTTTTAGCTGCATATGGGCACCCAATTAGTTCTTTTCTGCTGTTCTTAAGAATGTATTTTTTTATTGGGAAGGAACATATATACCTTAACCTTTGAATAATCCTGCAGTCCTGCTGGAAGGACCCTAAGAACAGCAACAGGCCGACCACGGCAATGCCCTTGCTAGTTGGAGCCCTACAGCAGGTCTGCTGTCTCTCTGCAAGAGGAAGAAAGATCCTATTGCCTAAGCTGTAGTGGCCATGCCAGGATATTTAAGACAATCTTGACTGCATTTCTTTCACCTTCACCAATGCTCTCAGGGGAAAGAGGAACTGCAGAAAAGACACAGCACATGGTCCCTCTGTGGGATGTATTTGAAAGGAATCCCAGAGATAGGCTTGTATGCAGCAGAAGAGCTGACTCTTACTTTTATAGAAACTTTCACGTAAAGAAGACTAAGAAATGGAAAATTAAGAAAAATATTAAGACAGACAAGGCTTTAACATACACACACACATATCCAAGTTGATTTTGCATTTTGAGCAGAAAGTGCTCAGGTTATGAGCTGGTTCCATCTGCAGAGGAGTGCATTCATTTCTTCAGGTATGAAGATGATTTCAAAAGCACTGGCATTAATCTAGAATGTAGTTTTCATTCTGTATTGGATTTCCATTCTATCTTAAAAAGAAAGAAAATCATTCATATAGTCAAAATCATGCTTTCCTTTAGTTACATCTAAATGAACACTGAACTAGTTACAGCACAATCTTCAAGAAGCAAAATAAATTGCAAGCTAAGCTAAACTTGTTTATAAAGTAAGTGAATACACTATATTCCAGCATTTAGTAACATTTTATAAATGTTCATTATTTATATTTTCCAAAGGTTGGATTGAGGACAACAGCCAGTGGAACACCCAGATTAACAGGCTCCAAAAGCTGATTGACAGGCTGGAAAAGAAGGTGCGTGTTTCTTTTCACCTGTTTGTTCTTTCATTTTCAGTAAAGCAATCCTTAAACCACAAATGCTTTCAATGTCCCAGTTGCAGTCTTTCCAATCAATGGTGAGTGAAACTTCATCACCTAATGAGCTAACACTCATTAAATGCCTGCATATGCCTTTCACCTTCTTTCCTATTTCATGAAAGCATGACATGGTTTTCCCAAGCTCCTCTTTCCCCTTCCCTTCACCACAGATCCAACTTTTCACAAAGATCTGAAAAGTCACATTATTCTGTGACTGGAGGATGTTATTCTATTTAGTTATGCCTGTTTTGGGGAACACGGGCCCATGCCTTTCTTTTTAGGATCTGATTTTTTTCTCTTCCTCTCCAAACTTTCCCACTGAAGCTTGACAGGAAGTTTTGTTTCCTCCTTCCTCAACAGAGAATACTAATTTATAAAGATTAAAACACTTTCCTAATAAGTACTGTTCAACCAAAAGCTGATGCAAATCCCACCATCCTGCCTGGGAGCCATGGGAGCCGCCCCAGCTCCAGGGCTGCATCAGCCCCCAGAGCCCTGAGACCGCCTGTGGTTCCCACGCCAAAGCAGAGTCCTCCAGGAGTCTGACAAATGTCCCATCTGATCCAATGATACCAAGGCTTCCCAGGGCTTGTAAAAACCTGAGTAACATCTTTATGTACAGAAAATATCTATTTCTTTTGTTTTCAATCAGATTTATTGCTACCCTAGGTTTTAAAAGTTGGGTTATGTCTGTGTGTGGTGATGACTTTTTCTTTTTTGGAGAAGAAAGAAGAGCAGAAGAAAAAGTAAGGTATAAATTCCTGTGGTGTTCTCACATAAAGTGTCCCTACTGAAGGACAGACAATTTCAGATAGGTGCTAAGGGAGTGGCTGAATTCAGTGGATTTTGGGACCCAGGGGATTTCTTCCTCCTGGTCCACTAGAGGTGAGGTTTTTGGTTGAAGGGCTCTCAGACCCAGGAGTTGCTCCAGTCCCGGTGCGGCTGCTGCTGCCCCTCCCTGCAGGTCAGTGCTCACCAGCGGCGAGGCTGTGCATGTACTCCAAAGACAAGGATCCATGCACACTGGCACGGGTGCCTTCGCCAGCACCTGCAAACAGAGAGGCAGCACTTGTGGAAACATGAACATGCAACAGCCTGATCCTGTTCCTTCTTTCCAGCTGATCAGGATGGACATTCCCCTGTCAGTGTTCTCATGGGCTTCAAGTCCGTCTCGTATTTGTGGCTGGACCCATGCCCCTTGCCTAGACATTGGCTCAGACCTTGGGTCCTGGCACACTAGTCTCTCCTCCTACTCACCTGCTAGTCCAACTTGAGTTCAGTAGCAAATTATATACCTAGAAAATAGTTAAGGGATTTAACAAGAAGACAGAATAAATGGTGGTGATCTGGCACAGGGCTCAGCAAGACAAGCATGCTGACCTTCCTCTGCCATTGCTCCCTCCCAAACGAATAAACTGCCCCTAATTACTCTTCCCCTTTGGTTTGGGACCAAAATTTGGCATTTCTGTTATCTCAGCCTTATTACTGATTACTGCATTACTGATATGGACACCCCTGGCACTGCTGGCCTTGCAAGACTTTGCTCCCAAAAAGGAGCCCAGTACTCCCTTTGGTTATCCCTGAGGTCTGACAGTCTCTCGCATCACTTCTCCTTAACCAGCTGTGAAATTCCGCCATTCCTTGCGGCACTGTCTGTAACTTCTGTCAGCTTCTCACTCTGTTCCTTCTATGCTCAGCAGCTTCTCATGGTCTGCTCAGTCCATTAAGCCTCTGCCAGGGCATACTCATCTGCCTGCACACAACAGCTTCCTCCCAGAGGTCATTTCTGCATGAGAAAAGCAATTACACAGAAGTTGCCACGTTAATGACATTTTGGTAGCAACTTGATTTTTTCTGAATAGCTATAAATTGGATTTTGAAATGCCAAAGTCCGTCATAAAATGTAACTCTCGCTTTTGGTCCAGCTTTACTCCCAGCTCTGCTTTGGAAGCAGCAGCTCACCGGCCTGCCACAGTGACCTCCCGACACGGACTGATGCCAAAAGGAGTTTAAGGAAACTTAACATTTAAAAGAAAGTTACTGAAAAATGAAACCTGGCATACAGCAATAATGCAATCCAAATGTTACAGAAAGCAGCCAACCATTTTGTAGTAAATAAACATACAACGAGACTGTTATAAAATGATCAGATCTGCTACAGAGAAATGAGAGAGAACCTCAGTTTGAAAAGGAGCTCAGTGCCAAAGGGAAACAGAGGCAGGGCATAGATCTTCCACAATTATCTCCTTATCAATATAAAACTTGATTAATAAAACATAGCAATCAGACAAACCTACTTTTGCCAACAGACAGACTATGTCCAGATGCCTAGCTTTGCATCTGCTTGACTTTGTATCTCACAGCCAGGTCTAACTGTGAGAAGTGAGAAGTCCACCATTTCTGCAGGTTCTCCAGGACCACCTCCTTTGATTGTTCCGTTGACACTTCTTTCTGGCCTCTGTGAACTAAAAAACCCAATTTACTAGGCATGCAGCTTAGAAATCATAAAACTTCTAGTCCTATAAAGTATCCTAAGGCTTATTAAAAAGACTGTAGGAATTCTTTTCTATTAATGACAGCCCCTCTTGTCCTCATTTTACTAGATCTTACATTTCATTACGGTAGAAGGAGCTCCCTGTGATCCATGTTTAAACAGCATCTAGCAAAACAATGTCTGGGTCATAACTGGGACAGGCATGTATTACAAAAAAGATGTCGGTGCCTCTTAGCAGACTGTCAGCCCATCTACACTGTTCCAAAGCAAAGTCAAGAAAAGACAGTCAAGAAAAAGCAAAGCTGATCGCTTGCATGACCACTGGCTTCAGACTGCAATGAATTAGACAGAAACATCAAGTGGTGACCAAGTGGTTGGTCACCGCTTCCCACCTAGGATGAGGCCAATACATATGCCATCTCTCATCAGTAACTTAGTAATTTCTAGCCTAGACAGTGTTCCAGGTTAACCCACCACATCCAACCAAGTGTTACAATTCAACTGTCTTTCAGCAGCTACTAAAGCTCTTCTTTTTGACTTTGCCCTGAAGCAGATTAGAAGGATCACACAATCACACAAAGAGGCAATTTCAGAAGCTACCACTTCTCAGCGGAGGTGAGGTAGGACTGCAGAGGCATCGTAAAGCCTCAGCTCCGAGCTGTGGTCTTGGTCAGTTTTCATTTCCAGGCTGCATGGTAACTGTCTGGCAGGAGCGCTCACCTCCCCATTGGACTACTGCACTCATGCTCAACATTGAGCCAGCTGATGCCTGAGCGCTCTTTCTGCACAGATGAGGACTACGTGCCAATGCTTGCATGCTCTGAGCATACAGCAAGCTGTCTGTGTAGACTTAACGTCACCTGTGTAAGCTTACCTCATCTGTGTAGTCATGCCCTGTCTAATGACATAATATTCATCTATACAAGTTCTTCAGTATTTTTAACTTCTCGAGGGGGCCACCAAGTTATCCGTCAGTCTTTCCTACTGGAAAACTACCTGGTGAATGGTTGATTTAGTGTTGTCTAACTCTTCTGCTGTCTTCTGTCAACAGTGAATTTAACCATGAATCAATCTCGTAAATCATCTTTTTTTTCTCAAGTTCTAAAGTGATATGTACTGGAAAAAATAGAATTCTTTTCTTGCTTCCATAAGAGAAAGTTTGCAATACAACTTAAGTCATTCCTTTCTTCTCTTTTTCCATACACTGCCCTAGAAGAAAATTGCACTGAAAGTACAGAAGAACCACAGGAATATGCACTTTCCCTCAGGGTTTTTATCTGAAGTGTCTGTACGACAAATGAGCTATTAAAGCTGGGTGTTCCCCTGCCATTTCATGCTTTTCTATGCACATTCTACAGGAGAGGTACAGCTACGCAGCAGTTACTATGTGACTGCTACTTCACTCCTGCCTTGCTCTGCCACCTGCTGCTGGTGGAGGTCCCCTGCTCATTTGAATCGTACCTTCACACCTCTTGTTGGCTTTTCAGTGAGTACGGTATTTGTGCTGGCAAAACGAAACGACCTGAGGTTGATCAAGCCTCACCCAGCTGCAAGTAGAAGAAATTTTATCTTTGTTACACAAGAATTGCTTGTAATGAGAAGCGAAGCACCACTAACAAAGAGTGCATTTTGTTCCAGCTGCTTATTGCAAACCGATCTGCTTTTTCAGCCATACGGATATTTTTCACAATATCCATATGGCACTGGGTTAGAGGGTACTGCGTGTGCCTAGCATGTAAGTGATAATTTTGTGTGCATTACTAGATGGTGTTTGCATGAATCACTGATTCATGAAGCGCGCATCCAGTTTGCGTGTTAAGCAAGCATACTGCTGCCTCACAGACGCAAATGTTTGCTGCTGCCCAGTCTGTCCTCAGAAGCAAGCGCAGTGGTTCAGAAACCTGACTTGGAGCACCACGCACATCTTTTTCAATGCTAGAAAACAGTCCCTTGCAACTATACTCCCCCTTCCCCCCTGAGAAGTTTCTTCTGTATAAAGTTTTATGATGGTTGATGGTTCATTCCAAATTACCATCCCTGCTCATCTCCATAGTCCGCGTGACAATTTGAGAATATATCTGTCTTTTCTGAATTACATCCAACAGACATTTGTAAGCAAGCAGATTTGTTACAAATGAAAAATTAGCTGTTCAGCATTATAAATAAAACTTTACAGAACAGCCTGGGTTGGATTTAACCACCGAAATGTGCAAGACACTGCGAACAATGCTTGTGTTTGACTTACAGCTAATAAAGAAGGGATGGAATTATAACTTCTGGAGATATAACAGAATCTAGCTGACGGAATAGCTTGTTAAAAACGTAAGATCAGAATACAGCTGTAGTATTGCCTCTTATATTTCCATTTTCTTTTCAACTGCCTGAAAGGACCTAAAGCTTGAGCCATTTGAAGAGGAAGTTTTGGAAGAAAATGCAAAATCTGTAAGTACTTTTCAAGATAATGACTTTTGACATTTGATTTTCCATGCCAGGTATTGAGCCAACAATGTTACCTGATCTCTTTCGTTAAAAAATAAAAAAAACCACCATCCTCCCTTGTCCCAGTGATAAGAATCCATTTTAGTCAGCAGAATACATTGTGCAAGACGCAACAACACAAAACTTGGAATGTGTGGGCAAAACTTTTATAGTAATTTTTGCATTGTTTTCAAAGGCTACAGTGAACCAAAAACTTGGCTCACATAAAGAATAAAAGGTGTCATTTATAAGATTTACCGAATTTGGCAGCAGTGTTTATGGGGTGACAGCATCTCAGCTCCCAATCACCTAATGCGGCATGCATGCTTTAAATCATGGTTGTACAGCCAGTCTCCCTTCCTCCTTCCCTCCCAAAACTGCTACAGGAAGCGTTATCAGGAAAGACGGGAAAACATCTAGTGTTAAGCAGTAATGAATGTTACAACTTACAAAACCAAAATCATAACCAGAAATGAACTTACTTTTAATTAACTTCATGTCCCAAGATCAATTTTTCAAATACACTAGCATTCCTAAATTCTGGGCTTTGAACCTAACAAAATGCAAATCAAATACACAGAAAAAAATAACCAAAATAGATGATCCATCAAATTCGCTATTTCATCACAGACGCTGCATTAGATTTCTTCTTTTTTAAATGAGATTATACAATATTGCTAGACAGGCTGCTTATGATGGAGGGATAATCCATGAGGTAACAGTATCAATAATCAAGGCAGAAACAAGTCAAAAAGCAGTACAAGAGATGAAGTTGTATTAAGAAGCACGTGGTGTTTCTTTATATATTTCATTAGTAAAATTGACATGCTTCAATGAATGAATCAATATGTAAACTACTTACGTTAGCTAATTGATAGCCATAATAATTCAGGATAAATAGGTCTTTTGTCCTCTTTATTCATCATTTAACACGGGCTACCTTAGGCATCTCATTCAGGTGTTAGAGCTCTGAAAGATAGAAGACTACAAGAGCACCTCAATGAAAGTAAGACTGCATCCAATGCAGGTTGTGGGAGTACGTTCTTACCTCAAACCTCATGCCTGCTTGCATACAGATTAATCCAAGGAAACATGCTGACTTTATTGTTGAGTATTCCAAAGATAAACATTTGCTTTACACTCTTCTGAAAAGACTGTCTCATCCAGGCTTCGGACAGCTCTCAGCTTCTCTAAGGCTGACACTAATTTGAGGTGTTTCCGTTCTGTGCCTCAGCCTGCTGAGATACAAAAGCTACACTCAGGTGTTTCTACTTCTCCACTCCAAAGCACTAAAACAGGGACCGCAAACTTCAAAGGAACTTTTGTGGGGATTTTTTTGATGATTGTGGGTTTTATTCTTTTATGATAGACTTTCTGGAGTTTAAAGTACAAGGATTTCAGAGGATGATATGCAGTAATATTGTCATGTTTTTATATCAGCACATAATGATTGTTCAACGCCAAATGTCCGTGATAGAAGAAGAAATTGAGGAATTCCGTCTTGCTCTGAAGCAGTATGTGGAATCTGCTTCTACTCAGGGTGGCTGCTTGCAGTAAGTATAATGTTATTGCCCCTGGGCTGAAGGAAGCAATGTAGTCTGACTTCCTGAATAAACTCTAAGTGGAGCCGGATTATTTATGAAGAGAGAACCTGTAACATTTTCCTTCCTCGCTGGTTATACCTGTGTGTAAGACAGAGCTTTTCAAAGACAACTGAAATCAGAAAGAGATGTCAAAGTGTATCTGCAGACTTTAAGTAGTATCACAAAATGACAACACAGGCTATCCCAAAGATGCTAAACAATCTTTTAAAACTTCTCAGTTCTGGAGGTCACCAATTCATGGATTCTGGAAGCTCCTAGGCTGACAGTCTTTATTGGAAAACTCATTTGCCATCCTTCACCTGTGCTTACCTGGCAAGTGAGCAACTTATCAAGTTGTTTGCCAGTTCTTGTTTGGAAGCTTTCAAAATCTTCCCTTTAGGCTGTCATTTTAAAATTTTCATTCATAATAAAAAATGGAAAAATTAAAAAGCAAAATGTTCAATGAAATAGTGTATTTCTGCTTTGCTCCTTTTAGAATTAAACAAAACATTAGAACTGGTTTCAGAATAAATTTTAGTGACTCACCGTGGTACTGAATTTCTTAATTTAACATACTTGAGAAAGCTATTACCATACACACTACAGCCCATTATGAAATAAATATTTTTATAATGTGTACACAATAAACGATCTTCCTATATATTCAAAGGCTTCAAAGGCTGCCTATCACAGCCCTAGTTTGTTAGCCTTGTTGCTATGAGATCACACTTACGGTGACCGTATCAGTAGTGTTCACACAGACCAGAAAAGGTTTGTTAAGCTGGAAGAAGAAAAGAGTGACCTTTTTGCAGTGGTTCACTTGTAAAGGCAGACTGATGAGGAAAAGAAAATTCTCTTGTGGGCCAAGAGCTAGAAAAAACAAAGAAGAGAAGACCCCTTCCAAAACCGAACATCCAGCCAAACACTATAGTGACTGCAAACTTTTCAGCGGGGAGAGCTTACATGACTTCAGAACACAACACAACAAATGATGGCAAAAAATTACCTTCTTTCCCAAGTTTACAGGCATTTGGTAAGTCTGTAATGCCACCTACCGGTTGTTTTTCACTGTAGCTGTTCATGACATTGATGTTTTTTCCAACAGTTCTTGATATTTTTGCTATTTTACAATGTAATTTTGCATACAGCTGGAGAAAAACAATAAATCACATTAAATTTCTTATCACAGTATGAAATATAATCTGAGACCAGTTTGCAAGCACATCAGTAATAAGATCAGCAATCTCACACTTGGGCACTCAGAGAAATACATACATGTATATATTTTGTGCTACACATCTAAACACCAATTTGAGCACCCAAATGCCTAAGTACCCTACGTGCTATAAAGCTGTTCGGTCAGGATAATAAGCGGGATGATTCTGTGTAGAGGATCAGCAGATATTCTGTGGGTCATTTTTCACCCATGATAAATTGTTAGCTGAATGCCATAAGGACAAGTAAATACCAAAAGGTATTATTTTAAAAGTGTATCTGCAGCAGACATCAGCCTATCTGTCTTTGTACTCCATTGCTATTTGCTTCCAAAGGACCTAAACTCTATGCCACTTTGATGCAACTCTTGTACAAAAGGATGTGTTCCCACAGTGTAATTCTTCAATGAAACAGCACAAGTTACTCTACAAACTAACTTGAACCATTCTCTATGTGCAGTATGCTGTTATTAGCTGATTTTCCCTGAACCACAGTTGTTTGATTAATTTTCTGTATTACTGATTAGCATTTCTTTAGATAAATTACACTATTGGAGCAATATGGAAAATTAGTTTCTCAAGTAAGAGTCTATCACAAGTGTACCAAGATAAAATATTAATTAAAAAAAAGACATGAAAATACTCCATGAGTTTAAAAAAAACCCCAAGCCCTCAGATAATTCACAGTATGTTTCCCAAAATCACTGATTTGTTACGTGTATTATTTGGGGGTTTTTATTTGGTTTAAACAAAAAAAAAAAAAAAAGATCACTCCATTTGGTTCATACTCATAAGCAATTTGGAGTAAGATGTGTATGTCCAGTAACTTCTTCATGTTTGATTAAATTAGTTCTATCCTACAATTCTTAGTGTTTCCATACAGAAGCTTCCAAGTGATTCCCGCTTCATTGTTTATGAATTCTGGGAGAACAGCAATGTCTGGAATAGGTAAGTTTTGGTTTTTTGAGGTTTGGGGGGTTTTTTTGTACTAGAGAAAGTTTTGAAGTTAGAGAGCAGTTGTGCAGAAGGAATGAATACAAATTACTTTAAATACTGCTAATCGATCTCTTGCTAAATATATCACAGTTAATTCTTCAGAAGAATACTTCAATTGCTGAAGACTAAAACATACCGAAACATATAAATAAAAATGTCAGAAAGACACAACTCGTTTGAACAGAATAGAAAATGTGTGAAAGCGAACAGGGAAGGGTATGGCATCAGATGTATGGTAGTTGATAAGAGACAAATAAATAAGGAAATGGCAGTATTACCATAGTTCAATGATGGCAATGAAAGAAATGGTTGAGACAGGCAGTGCGCCCTCCAGCAACACACTCACGCATGCAAGCGGTCATGGGGAGCTGTCCCAAAGCTTCCCAAATCCAGATCACAAAAACCCATCCAACACATTCCCACAGTGTCTGGTTTGGGCCCAAAATAGAAGTTACAGTGATTAAAAGTCCTACCAGCTGAGTTCTAGCCTGCAGCAGGCAGATGGCTAAGAAATTGAGTAGAGACAAAAAGATTTTCCTTAACTATTTTTACTATTAAAAAAACCCAAACAAGACCCATGATTTTAAATCTGTAGACAGTAACCACTCTGAAGGAAGACAGAGAGGTCTCTTGAAGCCTAGTTTCTTTCCTTTTGAACAAAGCTCCAGTTCAAAGTTTACTTTCAGAAAGGCTCAAGAACACTGGTAACGTGTCAACACACTTGGAACAAGAACTGCTATACTGGGTCACAACCAAGAGATGAGCATCAGGGAACAGTTAAGCATACAGAAGAAAAAGTGTGTTTAATATAACATGCAAGAACTTCACAGTTTATCTGTTCTCTCCCACTATCACCATTTTCTAAGTTTTGAAGCACAAAATCTGTTATAGCATTAACTGCAAAATTTTTGATGCTCATAAAAATTTTTAGCCCCTTTAAAAACCTTCTTACTCTTGTTTTTACAACTATTTAGCCACCTTCAAATGAATTACAGCAAGACATTCCAAAGAAGTAATGTGGACTTCTTGGAAACTCCAGAGCTCATCACAACAATGCTAGTCCCTGGTAAATATTTTTCATGTTATTTTCTTTATTCCATGTGAAGAGTTCTGCTATATTAGTGTGTTCCATATGCAGGAATGTGTATGGAACATATGCATAATATCTGCACTATCTGCAATAAACACTGCATAATACCACCCTTAGATTTTCTTCGGTAAAGTATGAAGGAGAAAGGGACTCCAAATGTTTTTATTTTAAGCACAGAAATGTAAAATGCATCAGCAAGAATAAAACCCACAATGCTTTATTTTATGCAGTGGAAAGTTATGCTATCATACACTATTTAAGAAAATAGCTAGAAAAAACAACACTGTTTATGATTAGTAAAATAGACCCTGTTTAAGATTTTCAGGAACAGAATTGCTTGCTGATGAAGACTTCATCATATTTACAGACTGACGCGACTCTTAATTACTAATAATTTCTATTTACCAACTAATTTATTATACATGCTTCCTGCTATGTTAAAATGGGGAAAAAACAACTCCTTTGGAAAAGCAACGTGTTAATGATTCCAAATTATTATTTCTAAGACAAACCAATGAGCATGAGACATCATCTTTCTCAGAGAAATGAGTTAAAAGAGACAGTGCATGATAAAGCAAAGTAAGCATCAGTCCCATATTTTCAGAGGGAGGACAGCAAAATTTTTATCTTAGGCAACACAAATCTATTCCAATGAAACCCTAATTTCCTCTATGTCTGAATACAGACTAAAATAATAAAATCCCACCCAGTAGAAAAAAAAACCTACATAGTCCTGTACCTGGGGTTTCTCCTTAAAAGAAACCAGCCAAGACATTTTCAGATCTCATGAGCCTTATCTGAACACATGATTATATGCCAGGGATTCCTGCAGTATCAGGAGATTGCACTTAATCAGCCAAGAATCCCTTCAAATCTTGTATCTTACTAGGAAATTGCTGGATTTAGGACAAACTTGGCTGTAAGAAACAACACGCCCTTTTCCCAAACTTCCTTGTGTCCAAGAGCTAGAGTGGGTATGACCCAGGAGTGTTCCAGGGGTGGTTTACTCACAGCTAAAGTACAATTAACATAAAATAATATGTAAACATCATTTGTAAGTGCCTAAATATAGATGTGTCTGAAATTGGATTCAAAATGCTCGTTAAAGCATCAACTGTGCCTGCTAAGAAGGATTTCAGTCTGCAGCACTCTATCCTGGCAGACAGTTGCCATAGAAACAGCATTTCTCACTGTGCACTCCTTGCCAGGGGGGCAATGGGAAGTAATGCATTCAGGTTTTTTTTTTACAATTTCACAGATTATCTATTATTTAGAAATCTGTGCAGACATTTGAACTTTTGTTTCATGGAAAGTACTACCCATATTTGATCTATACAAATCATACTTGTATTTGAAAGACAGAAAATGTTCACGAAGTAAAAAATGATGGCTGCAATGCTACCAGTATAATTTTTGAAAGAATTTTAGACACTGTGAAGTGATACCACTATAAAATCAGAAAAAACCCCAACCCGTCTGCAACTAGCACATAGATAGGCTCTATTTTTAAAAACAAATTTACCCTAGCTCAGACACATCTACAGTTTTTTTACACATCTGGTTAACTAAGAACTGAAACAACTGTAATCTGAATCTGATTCGAAGATTACAACCCCCGAGTCAGCTGATTAATTAAAATTAATAAGGATGCACTTACCTGGCTAAGAATGATTCAGGAAGACATTGGATTTCAAGACTGGTAAATCCAGTATTACCCTAAGGCAAATTCATTTATCAGTTAACAGGAACCACAACCTATTACAATCACTTGCACACCTGTTAACCCACCAAGTTGCTTCAGGCCAATCTACGAGGGTGGCATGGATTGCTCAGTTCATCTTCAGCAAATCCCTAATATTTATATAAGATCTGGACTTGAGGACACTAGAGAACCTTTTGGTGAAGAAAACAAAAGATAGGGGAAAGCCACTGAATGCTTATGACACTGTAATCCATGAAATAAACTTAAATTGGGTTTTGGCCAAAATTCATTAATCCACTGATGTGTCAGAGACTGCCAAGCTTTCATAGCCCAAATTCAGGTAGGATTCTTAAGTATCTTCTCGACATTCTTCTTCAGTAACATTCTTCAGAAAAATGCCATAAATTGAAGGATTTATGGACACATTCACAGAAACAAGTTGTGTCAATGAATTTAATCCCCAAACTGTGCAGTGCAAAACCTACTGAGCCTAGAGCACCCCTCCATTAAGGGGACTTGGCATCTCAGACACAGTCACAATTCCTTTCCTTCCTTCCTTCCTCTCTCCATAAATCTTGTGGTTCCTCTCTGCATAAGGTTCAATTTCCAAAGGGCAAAGGGGAGGGACTGTGGGGAAGAAGTACAAATGTGTTTGACTCGAGCCGTGCCTATGATCTGGTAATTCACAGATCTTCTTTTACGGAAATGACATTTTACAAGTCCATCAATTCTCTTACCTTTGAGGCAAAACGCTCCTGATTCACAGAGTTGTGTAAAAAGAACCAGGTTTGAATAACGTCACCAGGAAAGAAAGTCATTAAAGGCAGCACAACCACCCAGGGGACACAGTACTCAGCTAAAATACTGACACATGCAGAGAACAGGACTGAGGATGTATGTGGTTTGCTCTCTGGGATCTGGGTGCTTAATTCTATGCAACTGCACCTATGACACGTTAATGCTTCTTTGGATGTTATCAAAAAGAGATACAAATCCTTGTGCTAAAGCCACCCCCCCACCAGTTATACTCAGCTCTCCCAGTATTTTAAGTATTCTTCCCCTGCCTGGAGAGGTTTTGTCCTTGAAAGTATGCAGCTTTCAAATAAAGTGGTATTAGCTGCATATATAAACAAACATTTCTTTATATACCTTACAGCTATTTTATTTAGGATTTTTACAACAGGTAGCAAAAGAAATACCATTTATGTTAACAAATAAATAAATTCTCTCTTTCAGCATCGTGGTGGGTCCTCAATAACAACTAGAAGCTGTGGTTCCAAGTAGTGTTAATGCTGCATTGTTTTTCATTATAACATTCATATAGCAATGTACAGTTGTGCTGGGTTATGAATTTATGATGTGATACTGTTTGTTATTATGGATGTGATCTTTTCCATTTTAAAATATGGAAAACTGCACATTTATTACCGTCTCTTCTTGTGACTAGTTCAGTGAAATGATGCATTATAGAAGCTGAAACAAGACAGCTATGCTAAACTGTTTATTGTGTATATTCAGTTCAAACTGTCACAGAAAAGTGCATCTTGATTGGTGTGGCTAAGTATTTGTGAAGTTTTAGTCCTACATTAATAAACAATCATTACTTAATGCTGCTGTTTTCTCCTTTCACAGAAAAAACATGTATAAACATGAGCACACATTTTCACAAATGTCTTACGCTTCAGAGAAGCTGTCAGTCATTAATTAGGAACATAAACATAGGGACAACTTTTTGTGTTAATACGAACTTCACTCATACAGGAAATTTTCTGCCCGTGACAAGACAAGGCAGTACCATTTTCTTTTCACAGCCTCTAGCCCCTACCCTCGCAAGAGGAAACACATCTGCCTGTCTGCCAAGCCACTTTGGGTCCACAGACTTAACATTTCACAACCAATTTACTTTGAACCCTATGTCCTGACCACTCGGAAAATATTTTCATCAGATCACTTGCAGCTCACTGAAAAGTCATTAGAGAAAACTGCTGTTAAAGCATTAATAGCCATAAACCTGAAAGTAGAAATACTTTCTTCCCCAAGAAGTCTTGCTGTTCTCCCTTGCATCTGAGCAGTAGGTGTGTCCTCCAGCCTAAGAACAAAAGGCAAGTGACTATTGTAACCTCACACCTCCATGACAGGTTTGCAAGCTTTACACGGTAAATGACCACTCTCTCCACTCATCTAGTAGTCCAAAGTTACAAACAGTACCCGAAAATAACTTAAAAGTCATATTTAATAAAATAACTGTAGGATTTATCTAGTTTTATTTCAACTCAACCAACACATTACCATATGTTATTAAAAGTGGGGAATTTAGACTACAAACAAGCAATCTTCACTGCAGTAAGGGTCCCTATTCCAGAAGCTATGACCAGGACAAGAGATCAAGATTAAAAAAGGTGTCACATTTAGGTACCTGCACGTGACCAAGGCATCTTAGCTCCTATTGTATCAATGGAGTTCTGAGGGAAAATTAGGTGCCTAAACAAAGGTATCTAGTACATGTGAGATGCTCTAGGGCATCCCAACTGGTGTCCAACTCCCAGCTGATACCTACAGGTTGTGTGTCATTTATGCTAGGCCCATGCAGCTGCTTCAGACAGCCTACACGTCTCAGATGACACCCGATGCCTACCGTTAGGCAACTGAATCAAACCCTTTGACAGTAAAGTCAATGGAGCTTAGATTCTCTAAGCAAATGTGGATGTTGGAAAGTGATGCCCACACACTTCAATTCAGGTGCGCACATTAGAGGTAAATTTCCCCATTAAATCTTCTTACAATAACTCAGCAGGAGTGAATCCTTTTAATACTGGCATCCAAAGCTTTCCCATATTGACATGACCCAACTACAGATCTGTTCACTCTTAAAAAGGCACCCAAATAGCCATATTACGCTCACAAATGACAGATCAGTGAAAGTTTAAAGGTTTCTTGTCTTTAGCGAAGTAAAACTACTCATATTCCTGAAGATCTGGGCTGGCTTTTTTCCCATGCCAAAATGGCAGTCTAGTGTATGGCATGTTTTCTTTTGTCACTACTGATCTACTGACAAAGGAGATACAGTGACATGTGACACTGCTGCAGGGTAAAACCTTAAGTGAAAACTGACACACTACACTGAGGTTTGACATTTTTTCCTTTTCACTGGATAAACTATATTACCATTATTCTTAAAATAACCTGCTTTAGAACTTCATGTCAGTTAGGTGCTGGAGGGGGGAAAAAGTTCTAGTAGGTCATTCTCCTTTGTGTATTTACTAGTAAACACTTTGATGAATCATACACAAGAACAAGTTTGAGAAGTTTCACTTGAGTTTTGAGAGCTACACACAGAAACTGCCTTCAACACATACTGGGGAAAAAGATCCATAGCACTCACTCTAAAAAAACTCCCAGTGATTAAAAACCAACCAAACAAAAAGTATTTCAGTTCTTTGTAACATTACTTGTTAACAACATACAAATAGAATACCCTTGGAAGCTTATTTTAATTGACTAACTGCTGCTAAACAAAAAAAAAAAAAAAAAAAAAAATTCAAACAAGTTTATTTGAATAGTTCAGGGAAAGAAATCTAGTGTCTATCAAACGCAACTTGAAAGTTTTCTGCACTATTCTGATTACCATTCAACACATTCTCATTTAGCTTCCATTATCATTTGTGACAGAAGTTAAAAAATTGCCTTCAGTGCCCAGACAATGTTAGTGCAAGTCTGAATACAGGTTCTGAAGGTAATTATATTAATACAAAACAACTATTACTGTTGTTTGTCAACTGAAGGACACTTCAGGAAATACTCAAACTACTGCTTTCCACTTCACTATTAAATACTATTCTAACTTAAGAAAAAAGCTGTAGCATTAACTATGTAATAGTATACCCATTTACCCATGTAAGAAGTAATTAAAATCTGTCTTGTTCCTCAATTTTGCCCATTACTTCCACATTTCAAAGCCAAAAACACTGGACAGTTATTTAGAATCATAGAATAGAATCATAGAATCGTTTAGG